TTCTACCCTGGAAAGACTGCTGATAAACTCCAGATGGAGTGTGAGGTCTTCAGACGCACTTTCTCTGTCCAGATAACACTGTAGGACCAGACTCTACCCGATTAGGAAAAATTCTTCCTTTTAGGGAGTAGGGGGTCATAGGCCTACACGATTTGAAGTCAGACCAGCTGAGACCCCAATTCTGGCCTTATTCATAATTTGGCAGCACGTACCGTGTTCTGGGATGCTGAAAACCACAAGGGAGGAGCTGACACGAAAGACCCAGGCTTAGGAAGGGTCAGACCTTTGGTCTCACAGAGGGCCTGGTGGATCAGTCGGACCTCCCCAGGAGGTGGCCCCGGAGGCATCTCCTGACATCCTGATCTCTGGGTGTAGATGCCGAGGTCCTGCACAGCTCTTAAGAGACAGCCCTAGGGCTGGCTCTGTGTTTGAGTCAGTCACCAAAGTTTCAAGTCAGCTCTTTGATACACTGAGTGAAAGACAGTGAGATAGTTTACATGAGCTGTTTGAGCCTTGGTGTCCTTATCTGGGAAAAGAGTGCTAATAGTTCCCACCTCACTGTAAGTTGCAGAGGGTAGGAGGAGTCAGCAGAGGAGTGTGTGTGTGTGTGTGTGTGTGTGTGTGTGTGCGCGCGCGCGCGCGCGCGCGCTCTGGGGTTAGAAAAAGGCGCAAAAGTGAAATGTACTCTTCTTGTTGTCCAAATTATAGGGTGGTCACAAGTGGTGGAGAAACATTGATCAGATCCGTCCATGGATGGCTTTCATGAAGGGTCAATGGATAGGAACCCTCTTACCCACTTATTCACTAACATTTACCTCCCATCAGCTAATCTTAACTTTGGACCCAAGCAGTCCAGAGACCAGTTTCTCAGCCTGAAATATGGCCTGGCTGGTGTATGGATATTCCAAGAGCAGCAGATCTGGGCATGCCCTGCAATGGGAGAGGGGTCAGGGATGGGCTGGGGCCCCCAGGGAGAGGCCTTTGGCTTATTCTCTATGCCTTTCATAAACCCATTATGTAAATCCATCTAGATTTAAGATCCAAACCCTAGCTACTTCGAAGAGAATTTAGGGTACTTTAAGATTAAAACCAGAGCAAAGTAAGGACTTTAAAGAGAGCAGCTCCTAATCAATCTCATAATGAGAAAAAGGCAATCGCAACTACAAGAGATACCGTCTGCACCTATCAGATCGAGAGAGATGCGAAGCCCGATAACATCCCGAGCCAGTGACTTTGTAAAGAAACAGGCATGTTTACCCCCGACTGAGGGAGGAAGACACATGTCCAGCCTTTTGGGAAAGCTATTAGGTTGTGTTTTCTTAAATGAAAATGACTTCTTCTTTTGGCTCAGCAATTCCAGTAAATGCATCCTCAGTTACACTTGCAAAAATAGGCAAAGGCATTATTAATTATTAACACAAGAGTATCATTTGCATAATCATATTGGGATAAATGTAAAGGCTAACTGAAGACTCACAGGGTCTAGGTGCATTGCACTTATAGCTATGTGAAGAAAATGGAAACAGACTTAGCACAAAACAAAATGTACAGTGCTCTTCTGGGTGTGGTCAAGGATAAGCATGTGACATGTTTGTGCAAACCAACAGGAGCCTTGTCTGTGGGGAGAGGACTCGAATGCCTGAAGCTTTGAGCCTAGATGAAGGCTCACCTGTCGCTTACCTGTAGTGACATGTGAGCCATCCTCTAAAACAGTTTGGATTTTTCCCCTACTTACACACACTGGCTATTAAATAAACAAATACTCACATCCTCCTAATAAAAATAGGAAAACATCACTAATCACAACCGTAAGTGCAAGAACTCTTGACAACGCATGGGAAACTTACCATAGGCTGACACGGTGCTTGGTTTACTGGGGTCCCGTGCAAATGTGAAATGCTCTGGATTAGGAAAGCGGTGGAGTGAATGGCCCTGGTGGTTTCCTTGACCAGGGTTACACTTGTGCAATGTATTTTGTTGTCACCTGCTAATGCAAGGGTGAAGCGGCAAACAAGTTGTGCCACATAGTTTGCATTTTCCAACATCAGAAAGTTCCTAGTCGACAGAGATAACATTTCTCCTGAACCAACAAGCAATTAGTAGCTTCCTCCTTGCTCTCTGGACTGTCCCTAAGAACCTGAACTGTCTTGTTGGACTGTATGCTTATTCCATTCCAGGCCTGTTTATATGTCACACTTCACCCTCCTCTGGGTACAAGGGACAAAGATGCTGATTGCCACCCTTTCAGAAGGGACAGTGGGACAGCTAGATAGTGGGAAGGCTGCATGAACAAGAGACCATGCTTTGAATTCATCCTGAATGAATTTGCTTCAGGCAACAGGGTGGTTCAAATGGGTGGCACGGGAGTTCTGAGTCCCATGTGACATGGAGCTAATGACAGCAAATGGGATCAGGTCTCTGCAAGTGACCTGTGGGTTTAATAATCTTGACTCATACGCAATTAGAAGACTCCAGCTCTCTTTGCTGCTGGGCAGGTGGGTAGAGCATCTATATGTCTTAGGTTCTGGTGTCACTGACCAGAGTACATTAGTGTATATTACTCTAGTCCTAAAAGGAAGGAACACATTACAAAGGTAGCAAAGACTGATGCTGGGTGGCAGGAGTGTGTGAGTTACCCTGGAAGGGTTCTTTTTATCAGCAATGCAGGTTTTACCTATGCAATATCACAAGGGTTAATCGGAAGCCTATGGGAGCTAGATCACAGCCAGGGCTTTGACGGCACCCGTAAACCTGAGTTTCTCTCTGTTCCTCAAAGAATTCAAGGGGGGAGTTATTCTAGTCCAAAAGCACTCACCTCCCTGATTCACTTAACACAACACCTTTCCATTCAGTTACTAGGACAGTTTTGCCACCAGATTAGGAAATACCCATTTGGACAAGAGTGAGTTGGCTCCCTGGAAACAGGTAGGCAAGCCTGATTGCATGTAGCAATGCGGACTTGCACACCTGAGAGGAACAGCAGGATTGGCATAAGTCTCATGGGTGGACCTGAATTTTCTGTCCAGGTACTGTGGGTTCCATACACTTGTGTCTTTGGACAGTCATTCTGTGCCAAGGAGCATTTAGCTGCAAAGACCAGCAAACCCAACTCAAGGTGAAACAGAATGGTTTTACGTATAGTTAATTCAGAGGACAAATGGCAACACCCAGTACCTAAGTGCTTAGTGCCGATTTTACCCTGACAGCAACATGGTTGGTGCGGAGCCTAAGTTCCAGCTGAACATGGAAGCATCTTGGGACGGGAGGGAGAGGATATAATTTCGTTAGTTTTGTTTTAGGAACAGGAAGTGCTTAAGGAGTTGCTCAGACCACCTCCACCACAGAAGCCAGAACTGGATCACATGCTCACTCCTAAACTGATCATACAACAGGATGAGTTATCTTTGAGCCTGCAAGGCTCTCACCCTGCAGCAAGGGGAAGGGGGCTGAGGAGAAGCCATTGTTATCCTCTATGTGATCATTCGAGTAGACTGAGATGCCTTCTCATGAGTTGGGGATAGCTCGGTGGTTCAGCACTTGCCTACAATGCATAGACATTGGGTGCGGAGGCACGGATAAGGATTCACAGGACTAGGTTCAAATATTAAATATAATTTGTTTCAGGGAGAGGTCACTTGCACAAGAAGCAGATGGCCGCCGCAGATTCCTGCTCTAAGGATCCGCACAGGCTGCTCCCTGTGACTTGACCTGATGCAAGAGAGAGAGAGTCACCTGCCCAGACCCTAGACGTAAACTAACTCCCCATCACATCCTCACCTGTGACCATACCCACCTGTGACCATACCCAAATGGGCGTGATCAGTGCTACAGGTGCAGGCAGGGTGGATATCTCACTACAATTGGGTTTGATTCCAAAGCACCAGAAAGGAGAAAAAGAGACGACTTCCCATGATCCTGATCTCTTTCACACTTGTGTACAATTCTCTCCCTTTGAGCTTTTTCCATACTCTTAACTAATAGTGATGGACTACCCCTTCTATAATTGTGTTACAGTATACAAGCTTCCATGTTGCTTGCCAGGTCCCTCTAGGACATTACTGCCTCAATGAGGTAAGCAGCCACATTGAAAAGCCTCCATGGCAACAAGCAGCTGCCTCTGGGAGCATAGGGCAGCCTCCGTCTGACAGCCAGGAAGCCAGATTCCAGTCTTCGAACCACGAGCAAGTGAGTTCCACCAACAGCTCAAGTGAACTTGCAAGCTGATATTCCAAATCCTGATTCTAGATGACAGTGTCACTTTCCAGACACCTTGATGGCATAGAACACCACTAAGTGGTATCTCAACATCTAACCCACAGAAACTAAGAAAATACATGTGTGTTAAGTCACCAAATGCGAGGCGATTTGGAGAAAGCTAACAGTCTTTCTTGTTTTAATGAAGCTGAAAAGAGTTTACTTTTTTCTTAACAGTTAAGGATACAGAATGACTTTCCCTAGACGGCAGCTTGGGAGGAAAGGCATTTTCCCAAGGACATGAGTGACAGCAGGTGCCGACTCCTCAGAAGCTGGGGGACACGGCTCTGCAAGTAGGAAGCACCAACAGAATGCCAGCTTCTGGGCACCTTTGAGAATGAGGAGGGTGAGGAAAGAGAGTGCCCAGGGAATGGCGAGCAAGTGCTCACTGCAGGGCTGGCCTTGCTTATGCCTGCTCCCACCCCAGCTATCAAAACGGGCACAGAATTTTCTTATGAATGCTAACTGATACATCAACCAAACCTGATTTGACTTCTGTGCAAGTCCACGAGGCAGGTCCTGGAGAAGGAACCCTTCCACCATCCCCCTCTCTTCTGTAGGGCCTAGTGGTGTATGTTGGTTTGTCATGGCTGTGGTAAGAACGTATTACATGCGAGTGACCCAAACAACAAAATTTATCATCTCACAGTTTTGGAGGCTGCCTTGAGCATGGGTTATCCCAACATCATCTTCATCTGCATATGAAATTTTCCCTGTGGGAATGTTTATTCCAGCATTTTCTCTTTCTAGGACTGGTTAGATGGCTTAGCAAGTAAAGTCTCTTGCCCTGCAAGCCTAGTGACTGAAACCCAAACTCCAGGACCCATGTAAAGGTAGGAGAGAACCAACTTCATCAAGCTGTCTTCTGACCTCTACACGTGTGCTCTGGAACATGTGCCCTTACACCCCACCCACCTACCTAACCCCCACCTACCCACCCCCACACAAATAATGAACATAAAATTAATAAAAACAAATTTCCTTTTCTAACTGGGATCATATTAGGTGTGGTATCTACTTTAAGATAGTTACCTTCACTAATTCCATACACAAATTTGGTCACATTTTGAGGCTCTAAGCATGAGGACTTCACCATGAGAACTTTGTGGAAAATTTCAGCCTAAGCCTTAATACTGAGATTGACAGTGTAGGCACTGACCTATGGTAGAGCTAGTTTTTTTTTTTCTAAATTCATTTATTTACCAACTAGGCTAGGATTGAATCTAAATTTAGCTTCATTTGAAGAGGTTGGTAGACACCAACTAACATTGCTTGAAAGGAACATTTACTTCCTGAAATATCCAAGAAGTCATATTAGTTATTTTTCTGATGCTGTGATAGAAAATGCCAATGAAATAGGGGAGAAAGTATTTAGTTTGGTCTATGTTTCATAGCCTATCAATGCTGAGAAGGCCTGTTGAGGGTGAGGATGACCTCAGACAGGAAGTAAAAAGCAAGCAGGAAGTGAGGTGGGCCTATAAATGCCATAAACTTTAAAAGTGCCCCCTGCTCCACCCCCCCCCCGCCGGTGATGTTCCTCCTCCAGTAAGCCACCCCCCTCATTAGTCCACAACCTTCCAAAACAGAGCTACCAACTGGAGACAAACGTTCAACTATGTGGCAATGTGGGGCATTTTTTCATTCAGAACAAAATGCACAAAATTCAATTCCCTGGGAATGCTTTCTCTTATTTCATGGCTCTGCAATGGCACTACTGAACTACAGTTTGTGTCTCATCCATACAGTAGCAGGGGATATCATTTGAAATAATTTGAAATCTTCTCCTTGTAGCGGAGAAAAGAATCTTGCAGTTAAACCAACGCTGAAAAGCTAGCTTCCCAGCAGAAAGTTGAGGGCACTGCCTTTGCTGGGTGTACTTCCAAGGCCATAGCTTCAGAGAGGAAGAGCCTGTGGGCGTTTCCCTAATCTTCCACCTAGAGACCAAACCAACCCAGCAGGTCTAATTGGCAACAATTAATAGTTCACATGTTCTTCAAAAAGCAGTCTTGTTTAAGTGCACTAACTGACTCATTTCCCTCTATGACAACATAGGTTACAAAGTGAAATTTCAATAGGCAGGGCTTGTTAAATGTCAGCAGTGCAGTCAGACTATCTATGACAGACTGGAGGGAGTGCCTTTGTAGGGAGAACAGCACACTCAGCCTGTCTCTACAAAGGACATTAGCCACAGGTTGTCTCCTCACCTCCTCTCTTTCTTAGCCCTCTTTCTCTTTCCTCTATTAGCCTCTGCCAGGTACCGGAATGCCCACCAATGTTTGACCTAGAATGGTCCTAGAAATCTTGCGACATGCTTTCTTTTTGACGCCACCTGTTCAAAGACACTTTGCTTTGAGAATATCAAAGTTAATTCAATTCCAAGGTTGTCTTGAGCACCGTGGAGTGTGATAGCCGGAGTTCTGGCTTTTGCTGTAGAGCTGTTCTCCCAAATGCTGATCTTGTCAATAGACTGGCTGCTGAACTGCTTGTCTGGACCCTGGCTTTGTCCGTTTGTCCTTTATTTCTCTCTCTGGAACGGAGATGATTTTCTGAGGGACCACAACTCTTGTGGTGTGCAGGGTGCAAACTTAAAGGCAGAGAAAGGGCCATTGGGAAGATGACTGATTATACAACAGAAAACAAGAATAGAGACCCAAATAGCCGAAAGAGAAGCAACACAGAGCTATTGCATTTTGTTACAGAAATGAATGGTTCCAAGTTTTGATCGTAAACTCTGTTAAAACAGCCCAGCCCCTGAATCTGGAGGGCTACCGCTCCAAGTCAGCTACTAACATCACATTACAAATTACTTCGACTCTGTGTGTTGTCTCATGACTATGATCAGCAGTCCCCACGATCATGTGTCCTTGGCATGCCATAGGAAGTAGATTCATGGAGACTGGTCCAGACCCTGACTCCCTGCAGCCCTCCACTTCCAGGCACCTCATTGTCTCTGCTGTAGGTCAGTGTTTTTGTTTGTTTTCAAGACAGGCTTTCTCTGTGTAGACCTGGCTGTCCTGAAACTCACTTTGTAGACCAGGCTGGTCTGAACCCCACAGAGATTCCCCTGCCCCTATTCCCTGAGTGCTGAGATTAAAGGTGTGCTCCATCACTGCCAGGCAACCCCTACTATGTTTTCAACCAGGGTTTCCTTGTCGATGTCAGCAGGAAAGAGACATCGGCAGCTGTGTTCTTACGGGGTAATTTTGGAGTTCGTCCCAGGTTCAAACTCTAGCCCTGACACTCCTAGATATGTGATCTAACACATTACACCCTTCTCCAGTGTCTCCTTGTGTACCTTCACGCCCCACATCCATGGATTACTAACAACCGACCAGAATTACTCAGAAGACAGTCATGTTCGTACTGAGCACAGAGGTGTTTTCTGTCCAGCTCTTCCCCTGCCGTCCACACTGCATTAGGTATGGAGAGTCAGCCTTTTTGTTTCTGATTTTAATTTGCATGTTCATCTGTTCCACTATGTTCATAGCAGCATTGTTTGTAATAGCCAGAACCTGGAAGCAACCTAGATGCCCCTCAACTGAAAAGTGGATAGAGAAAATGTGGTACATTCACACAATGGAGTACTATTCAGCAGAAAAAAAAACCAATAGAATCTTGAAATTTGCAGGCAAGTGAATGGCACTAGAAGAAACCATCCTGAGTGAGGTAACCCAGTCACAAAAAGACAAACATGGTATGTACTCTCTCATATATGGATTTTAGACATAGATCTGGGGAGTGCCAGCCTACAATTCCATGGCCAGAGAGTCTGGGAAACAGAACCTTCATTCAGTGGCTGATGGAAGCAGAGGCAGACACCCACAGATAAACACTGAGCTGAACTCAAGGAACCCAGTGACAGAGAGAAAGGACTGATGAGCAAAGGGGTTAAGACTGGGCTGTTTTAACCCCCAGAAACAGCTGACCTGAACAAGGGTTAGCTCTTGAATCCCAGACAGATGGCTGGGAATCCAGCATGGGACTGATCAAGACTCCCTGAATGTGAGTGTCAGTGAGGAAGCCTAGGCAATCTATGGGGCCTTAGGTAGTAGATCAGTATTTATCCGTGGCATACAAATGGACTTTGGGTGCCCATTCCATAATGAGAAATGCACTCTCACCCTGGACTCTTGGGGGAGGGTCTAGGCCCTGCCCTGGATGAAAGGACAGATTATGGATACCCCTATGGAGGGGGTAGTGGGGGGGTGTTGGTAGGAGTGCATGGGAGGAAGGGAGGGAAAGGGAGAGGGACCTGGGATTGACATGTTAAAGCAACCTTGCTTCTAATTTAAATTTAAAATAAAAAAGAAAGTCATCCAGAGAGAAGTTTAAGTGTATAGAAACATTCAATAAGTTTTGTCTGAATGATAATCTATTATTATTCATTTATTTATTTCAATGTATTTATTCATGGCATTTTGCCATATGTGTTGAGTCTGCTGGAGCTGGACAGTCGTGATCTGGGAATTGAACCCAAATCCTCTGGAAGAGCAGTCAGTGCTCTTAACCACTGAAGCATTTCTCCAGCCCCAGATACACTATTTTTTAAGTGAGAAGTATTTGCAGAGGACCTGGAACCAATTCCTTACTTGCAGATGTCAACCAGAGTTAGCACTGAATCTAACTCAAGGGATTGTGAGGATGGAGCGAAACGGTGAGTAGCAAGTGCCATGTGTGGTGCCGGGACAAACGGGTGACTTAGTAAAGACCTCTTCCCTTCCTTAGGTGGCTGGAGAAGGCACTCGGCTTGGCAGTGCAGCAGCTGCAAACTGCTGCGGACACTGGACACTGCACACTGTGGACACTGCGGACACTGGACACTGGACACTGAACACTGTGGACACTGGACACTGCGGACACTGTGGACACTGGACACTGCGGACACTGGACACTGCGGACACTGGACACTGCGGACACTGCGGACTGCGCTGCTCACTAATGTGTCTAAAGACTCAGTGTGGCTAAGATGGCTCCCAGCGATTGTATTAATGTCCAGGCTTCCAGATTCTATGCCAGAAAAACGGAATTCAGCACATGTGGGGTAATGGCATTTTTACTTCCTGACCTGTGTCATGCGACTCTGAAGGTAGCATGGGAAACATTTTGAGAAACCTCTGCCTGTGTTCTCCTGGGGGCATAGGTGCTCTGTGGTTAGAGCTAAGGTGCTGTGTCTCTTGACAATAAAAGCGAAAGCAATTCATTACAGTAGAACAATGGCCAAGTTAGGGACCCCAGACTCAAGAGGTCAGGTGAGAGTGGGGGGGGGCAAGGGCGGGGCCAGGGCAGCAGAGGTCAATAAACAGGAGGGTTCTCACAAAGGTGGTAGCTGTTACTCACCCCCTGTGTGCATCAGCCGTGGGGGACAGCAGTCTTGGCATTGCCAGTTTAACTTTCAAAAAGGAATCTAAAATGCAAATATTGTCATTATCCCCTAACTATTGAAAGTCCCAGATGATTTACAACTAATTTCTTTTCCTCATTCTCCTTTTGTGGCCAGGGTGTTCCCTGTCACCTTCTCTACAACTGGGCTCCCGCTCTATTTACACCTAATTTTAAAAATCCTTACGGTGTCACACAAAGCGTTATCTGCCATGGGCTGACAGTTGGTCAGTGGTGACTAATGCCATCTTCTAAGAGGAAAAATGGGAGACGTGAGGGGAGAGATGTTGCTGAAAGCTGTGTCTCCAAGGAAGTCTTGGAGTCCGCGTTTGCTCTCCAATCATGAGTGTCCAATCATGAGTGTCGATCGTGCCTCCGTTCTTCAGAGACCCACGGGACTTCTTTCAGGCAGAGATCCCCGGGCTGTTTGGACCACACCCCCAGTCCCAGCTGGAGGGCTGGCAGAGGACCTCTGAGGAGGAGGGAAAGCCTTGCACTGAGCGGCTCCTCTCCCGCTGCCGCTGTCACCCTCTCCTTTGATGTCCCGATGTTTCGGTTCTGGCACCCATGAAGCAGGGCACCAGCATTCCCGACCAGCAGCCTTCCACCAGAACAGCTCTCGGCAGGGGGTTCCAGGGACATCAAAGGCATAAAATTGCCCTGGAAGAGCTTCACCAAGGTGCCTCCTGAGCATGAACAGTGACTGCAGGAAAGGGAAGATCAAAGTGAGAGCAGCTTTGAAAGAGGGACGGGCCACCTGGGCCTGTTCTGTGTGAGGAGAGGCCACCATACCTGGCCTGGCTCAAGTACCTGGTCAGAATCAGAGCCGTGTGCCTAGAACCCTGTTCCCTTCTGGGTGCAGACTGGGCATGACCTTGAGGCCTCTAAGATTGTCTCACCACAGTTGCCTTTTTCTTGGCTTCCTGGATCTCTGTAGGCGCTGCCCAGCATCTGAGGACAGAGAGCCCCTTGGCTTGGCGTGGAAGCAGCAGCGAATGCATGAGTGTAGGCCAGGCAGGCAAGAGTGGAAAAATCCCCCCTTTGGGAGGTGCCAGGCAACACCCCACAAAGACGTGACCTGTGTGCTAACAACTAATGAACTATTGCCTATTACTGAGGCCTGGTGCCCACAGCAATGTCTGCAGCTACATGGAAAGTTTTCCCAGTGGGCACTGGCATCATCAGGTAAGAAATCAGCTGCCATGCTGTGAACTGCTCCTCTGCTGCTTCAGTTGCTGTCCTTACTTCCCGGAAAGAGCTTGCTTTGTTTATCTTCTTTCTTCAGAGCAGACACAAGCCGTGAAGCAGGTCCAGGGGTCCAGTAACCGCCCAGGAAGCTGAGTGGCATGTTGGCTTACTCCTTCCTCACTGTCAGCCTGATCCAGGGACCCAGCACTAAGCCACTAGAGCAAGAGGAGGAGCCTGCGGGGCCCAGCTCATCAATTCCCCACTACTCCTTTAAAACATGGAAGAACTGCTTGTTTATAAAAGCCGTAGGTGCACGGAGAGAATACTTAAAATAAGTTTCAATGAAAAGGGCATCCCCATGTCCCATATCAACCCCGAGAAACGGATGATGTCCAAATGTTGTTCTTGAAGGCAGCTCCCCCTCAGCACCCCTCCACCCCCACCTACACTCTCTGTGTACCCAGGGAATACACGTTTAGCATCTTTTCTTTTAGCATACCTCTTCTAACATGCCGGCCCACATTTTCTAAAGCAACCCCACCCCCATCACCATGCACTATGGGAAAGCTAAGAGTATTTAACTATCTCTGGATTTTTCCAATTGCTTCTAGTTTTCATCTCTTTTGTAATAAATCCACTAGAAATCCATATATATTACCCCAGTTTGCTTATAGCTCCCGTTTCTGTAGCTTTAACTGGACACATAGAAACTTTTCTCCGTGGCACTTGAAGGAGAGGATGATGGTGGCCATTTCAGAGATGGAGAAAAACAAAGCTAGATTAACTGGGATCAAATAGCTATTAGCTGGGTCTTTAGCGCAATCACTCATTAGGTAGGTGCTTATTGGACACGATTGCTGCCCTTTCATTAAACAATAAAAAGACATCCAGCTCAACCCTGCCCTCTTGCTGTTTATGGTCTTGGAGGATCTTATATATGTTGAGGGCTTTGTCTAGATACAAATTGGGTCAAGTGCTTTGATGAGAAGATCTGAAGTGCTGAGGAGGAATATTGGATGGGCTGGATTGAGGCCATGCAGGCAGGAAAGCCTGATGGAGGTAGCATTTAAGTGAGAGGCAGGGGACACGGGAGAATGAGGAAGGCCCAGTAAGAGGCTGCAGTGTGAACGAACACAGCCCAGAGTGGGGAAATCCTTGCTGGCTGTGTTTAAATATCCGGGAGGAAACCATTGCCGCTGTGGAGAGGGTGGTGAGGGCCTGGTAAGGCAGACAGGAGGTCCTTATGGGATCATGGAAAGGGATTCTGGATTTGTTCAGAATGTGGTGGGAAGACACAGGACCTGGGAGAGAAACCCTAGCTGTCTTGTGGGGAACCCTCAGGATGCCCAGGAGAAACTGAATCTAGACTCTAGCTCAGTTTTTATCTGTTAGATAAGAATAATTGTGATACTTATAAAGATGAGTGCTTATCAGGCCTCCATTCAACACCGGTCATCCTGCCTAGGACTTTTCCTGTGTCGTTTGCTTTCATTTTCATGGCAGCTGTTGGGGATAAGAGCAAGCACTACTACACTTGTTTATAAGTGAATCAACTGAGACCACAGAGATTAAGTAACTGACCTAAAATTATGCAGCTAATTTTCTATGTTATACATATATATAATAGCTACTATCTTGACCTGTAAAACTGGCCTTGGTAAATTTAAGGATCTGAGTCACACCAACTGTATTTTCTGGCCACAGTGAAATTAACTTAGAACTTAATGATAAGCCATCATGGATACCTAGAAACTAGAACAACACATCTCACGGATCAAAGACAAATAATAAGAAAGTCTGGAAAATATTCTGTTCTGAGAGACAAAAAACAGGAAATGTCAAGGTGGGTAGGATGCAGTTCAGATAGTGCTTCCAGCAGGGAAACCACAGCTTTAAAACGTTCCTAAATGTGACCTAAGTCTCTAATTTAGAAGAGAGAGAGAGAGAGAGAGAGAGAGAGAGAGAGAGAGAGAGAGAGAGAGAGAGAGCTAAAAACAAATAGAAGGAAGGATCTAGGAATAAGGGCAAAGGGCAATGAAACAGAAGGCAAAGGGGTAACAGGGAAAACCGGCAACGCCTGCATCTGGTTTTCCACCAATAACTGGAAAAGAGCGACAAACTTCTAAGTAGGCTAATTAAAAAAAAAAGTTGACCACTAAGATCAGAAACAAGATAGGAAATCACTGTGGTCCTACTGCTATCGAAGGGGTGGACAAACGTCTTGAGAAATAAAACTTGCCAAAAGTAACACAAGAAACAATACATAAATTGTCTCTGTGCCAATTAAAGACATTACCTGTGTTATTGAAAGCCTGCCTAAGAAGAAAACACCGCATGCAAATGATTTTGCTGGTAAAGTCTGTCAAATCCTCCAGGAAGAAATGCACCAACATTCTACAAATATTTTTAGAACAGAGAAGGAGGACTCTGTTGCCCAATTGTTTTGCAGGTCTGATATTATCATCCTTGATGTTCAAATCTGATAATGTTTAAAAGGGGGAAATTATGGATCAGTATTCAGAGCAATGTTGACATTAAAGTCATCAGGAAATTTAATCCAGTAACACAAAAGTTGGACAATTTATTATGATCAAGTAGACTTTAATCCCTCTAAATCAAAACTTGATTTAATATTTGAAAATCAATCTAAGTAATTCAACCAAATAAAAGGAATAAAGGAAGAACCTCAAACTATGAGTAGTGGTGTCTTTTTAAAAACTGCTACAGGGTACCCACATATAAAAAGTAAAGCATAAGAAAGAATCTATAACTGACATATATGAGACAGAATTGTTTATGAGACCTAGAACAAAGCAAAGGAAGGTGCCTGCTTTTACCACTTCTGTTCAGCCTATGGTATGGGCTCCTGGAGTAAAAAACCTTCACCATTATCTGGGAGCAGCTAGCACAAAAGAAGCATAGGTACTCATCAACACAGCTCCTGCCTCCAGGTTCCTGCCCTGCTTGAGTTCCTGTCCTCTCTGCTTTTGATAACAAACTATTACATGGAACTGTGAGAGGAATAAATCCTTTCCACTCCAAGTTGCTTTTGGTCATGTTGTTTCATGACAGCAATGATAACCACTAAACTAAGAGATTACATTTTATGAGAGGAATAGATGACTAGAGGTGAATTAGTAGGAGATTCATTACGTCCAACATAATAAACCAACAAACTCCTAACAAGAAGTTCTTCTACTATTTGTAGAAGAACAAATAGTAATCCGACCTTCCAGAAAAACAACAACCATAATCA